TGAATTGAATTCGACTCAAACGAATGAAAAGTGAATGGATGTTGTGAGTTGGAACTCTTGATTGATATTGGATTGTTTGGTTCAAAATTGTATGCAAGATATTTTCGATTACCAGTAAATGCATGATCATAACCGGTATTAGAGTGATAATTCTGTGCTTCAGATTCATGAACATACCATGCATTCTCCCATATTAAACTTTGATAACCATCGGGAATTTGTCCATATTTTGTGGTTATATTTGAAATATCTTCGAATGTAATTACTAATTTGTTGCTGTTTGTGGCTAAAACAAAGATTCAGCTAATTTTTCGATTATTCGAAAGTCTAAACAACTTACCTTCTTCTTTGCTGTCTGAAATACGATTCATCGTTGTCTATTTGCCTCTCAATGTTTTTCGACTGTTATTTGAATTCTTCTTTTATCACACGAGATAACCTGATGAATCATTGTTTCACTAGGCAGAGCATTGTCATCTCGGTTTTTTCTTTCTAATTCTTCGTTACTCAACCTTCTATTGTATGCCAACGTGTTATTATTTTTCTCTAAAAACTCATACATATTAGTGATGCGGATGAGTGATGAAGGTGGAAAGCTATCTTTTAGTAGATTAAGAACGGTGTGGGTATAAATCAATTGAAAACTGATCGACTTATCTCTTGACGAAAAGACAAATCAAAACCTGTTAGTTTCAACTTTTGCTTCTCAGCATCGACTTTGATGTCAAATTAAGGATGAGTGTGAATGCGGGCGTATATGATTATCTAACAACAAAATCACATCCACACTTAGACCCTATCACATTTTCCTCCAATAAAGTTTCATATCTAGTAAGTCATTGACTTCCGTCGCAACAATTATTCCAAGACACGATTCAATATGTTGCACATCAACATCCTCACAGCGATCGATTGTGTTCTAACTATACGCCTTTATATTTTTTGTTTTCCGTAAATTTTTGTTTGATTAGTAATGAGGTTTTAAATTTCTTTAGTAAAAAGAGTTCTAAAGGCTGAAACTGAAATTTTCTTTTTAAAAAAAATGAAGTAAAACCATCATCCATGGTAAAACTCTCATTCATTGGATTCACCTCCTCAATGTACATATCGTCATCAACAAGTTTCAGTTCATCTAAGTTATAGGCTAATCACTTTACAATTTTTCTTTATCAAACATTACAAACTTATATTTTCTAATATTTGCATACACTTAAAAGAAAAGTTTTTTCATTATATTTACAAAAGAACAAGAATTAAATTCAAAATAAAGTTATCCGTAAAGGAAAAAAAATCATTATCAAATTAAAAAAAAAATTTGTAGTAAATTACTAATTCTTCTAATCATCTCCCTTAATTAATTGAAATGGTATTGTTGTTGGATGAGTAGGAAATAATTCATAAACATCTTCAATTGACATATCTTCTTCAATTAATATTTGTTCATCAGCTAAAGCGTATAATTGATACATATGAGAATTTTCGTGTGGTATATGTAATTTTATCATTGTTTCATTAATAAGTGTTGCTGCTGATGTATCACGAGAACATGGCAATAGAATTATTTGTTCCTTATATTTAATGGAACTATTTATTGATGCTATTGATATTAATTGAAATTGAATTTCTGTCATTGATGAATCAATATCATTTAAAGTAACATCATCATCATCGATTGTAAAACCATCCTTCATTAATTTATAATAATAATTATTAATATCAAATAATTGACAAGCAATAGAACATAAACGTTTAATATTAATTGTTAAAGAACAATGAAATTGAATCGATTGATTATTATCATTATGAATGTGAATATTTACAGTAACAGGTAAATTTTCATTGATTAAAATAAATCGAATAGGTGATATTGATCGAAAAGAAACTAATTGAGTTTCTTTTGATAGAACAAAATCATTTGAATAGAGAAGATATTGATGATCGATTTTCTTTTCTTTATAGATCTCAGCAAGTGTAGCAAAAATCGTATATCGTTCATGAATATCATTTCCTTCAGCATCAATATCTAATAATAAATTATTTTTAGGTTTCTCAATTGATACAAGACATGTTTCATCTTCTTTAACTAAAATAAATTTTGTATCAATTAAATTCGAAAGATTTTCATGGTAATCAATTATTTTTTTTGTATAAGTCGATGCTAAATATCTATAACCAGTAGTTGAACCATTTGTTAATTGAAAAATATGTTCAATAGTTGTATTTCTATTTGATAAAAGTATTTGTATAGGTATCTGATTATCATATTTTAATATTTTAACTAATATTGATATACGAAAATGAATTGGTTCATTATCATTATTAATATAATTAGCAAGAGGTTGTCGAATATCATCTTGAGATAAAATTTGTTCATTATTTTCTCCTAATACAAGAACACAATCATTTGGAGATATATCAATCAGATTTAATTGTCTTAAAAGATATTTATTATTTAGTAAATTATAAATTCTCATTGATTTTAATGCAATAGTCGTTGTACTATTTGTTTCATAAGAGAAAATAACTTCAATTGTTGCATTTCGATTAATTCCATCGATAACTATTGATTTCGTTTGTTCTATTGCTAAAGAAATCGATTGATTTTCTTCAAAAATTATCTTTTGTTCTTTATCAAAAAAAGCATATTCGTCAATAAAAGAATCAGTTATTTTCATAGAATTTTTTATCCATTGCCATTTAGTTGTTGGATGAAATAAACTAATTTGTTCTTCATCTAAACAAAACAGATAATCAATAAATAAAATGGTTGAGTTATATTTACCTTGTTTTGTTCGTCGAATAATTTCACATAATGAATTATTATTAATAATTTCTTCAGTAACCGTAATTAAAATTGTTTTATTTTCATTATTATTATTTATTCGATTTATAATATCATTAATTGTTTCATTATTAATAGCTGTTCCATATTTATCAAAAAAACAAAGATAAATATCTGCTGAAGAAGGTTTTATATTATTATCATGAATAAAATGATCGATAATAATAGAAACATTACTGTTGGATGTTGAAAAATATTCAAAGATTTTGTTATGAAAATCAAATTGAATTTTAAATAATGAAATTTTTTCGACAATAAAATATTTCAAAGATATTTGGGATAATAATTGAATATTATTATTCATAAAATCGAGAAGAATTTCATCTTGATCGATAGTAACAAATCTATCTTTATCATATTTTTCTTTATCAAACATTTGACGTAATTTTTCGAAAAGATTTTCAATTTTCCATAAATGTAAAGTAGATGTTTTATCTGGACGAGTAATTGTGAATGCTTGTGCTTTATTTAAAGGCATTGCGGGTAATATAGATTTGTTATGTATATTTTCAAATAAAGTTGATGTTGTTAATGGAACTAATTTAAGATTTAATTGAAAAAGAGATGAATATTCTAGACATTGTTCAATTAAACTCGATTGTTTTGGAGCAAATTGTTGTTGTTGTTGAAGATCATTTTCTTGAAATAAAATATCTCCAACTGGATCATCAGTTCGATAATTTGAAATATCTGCCCATGTATCATTCTCATCTATATTCATTAAATTATCGGATATTTCATTTGTTGATATTGATTCGTTAAGAAATTCATGAAAACGATTTGTTTGTGTAACTTGTTCTATATGTATATTAATATCGATATTTTCACTCCATTGTTTCGTTTCTTTTTCTTCAATATTAACAATTCGTTCTTGTAAAATTGTTCTCATACGTATTAAATGAATACTGAGTGCAACATAATTTTCACATTTGATTTCATCTGGTACAAAATTTAGAATAGAATTTTGAATATCTAGTACAAAACATGTTTCTTTTAATGAATGAGCCCATTGTCTTAAAAGTAAATATTCAATTATTCGAAGATCATTTAATAGATCAGTTATTATTTGAATTGTTAATTTTATTTTATCAATATTATCCTCATAATCAACACTAATAATTGCTGCTTGTAACATTTGATTAAGTTCATTATCAAGTTGTTGATCAATTGGAGTTCGTAATAATTGAGATACATCAGTAAATAAATGTTGAAAATCATGTATTGAATTCGCATATAATTTTCTAATATGATCAATATAACATAATTGAAAATCTTTTATTTCGTATTGTTGAATTTGTTCATAAAATTGATTATCATTATCTAATGAACGAACAAATTCATAAAGATTTAATGGAGAAAAATCATCTGAATGATGTTTTAATATCATAATTATTTGTCGAAGAAAATTATGTCCATGATAAAGTTTATCTAAATACATTTGTTTTAAATGATTCCAATCTGTTTCTAATTGTTCACAATTTAATACAGAAGAATATTTTTCATCAAGATCAAATATTTCATTATCTGTTGTTATTTGTGTACGTCGTATATGACATTGATAATTTTGTATTATATGTTGATAATTAATAGGACAAAGTAAAAGATATGTTCGAATAATATATGATTGAAGATAAACAAAATTAAAATTAAGTTGAGTATCTGCTCGTTGAAAATATTCATCCTTTTCATTAATAAGAGTAGCACGAGATAATTCTTCAATACATAAACAATCATTATTAGTTAATGTAATAATACCAGTATTATCACGAACAATTTGTAAAATTGAAACTTCTTTCGAAGTCAAATTTTTCACTAGATTTTTCCATGTTTCACCAATATGATTATCATTACTATTTACTTCTCTATCAAGTAAATTCAACAGACTATTGTGATAGTTAATTAAAACACTAGAATATAGAAAATGAATATTATTAAATCAAATTATAGAAATACCAGAAAAAAATAATTTGTATATCATGAGCTCAATGATGGTCATGTCTATGAAACTATGTCAGCCACGTTTAGGGGGAGGGGGGAGGAGAGTACAAGTTTCTACCCATATACGCTTCAACACTCCTTTTAGATTATGTTACACAAAAGAAAGAAAGCAAAGTAAATATACCTAAGTATACGCATAACAATATCTCCTTCATCATGATTTTCTGTTGTAACTAAATAGTGTACTGGTGTATCACGTGTAATTTTAGTAAAACGTTGAATTTGATCACAAGCACCTGGTCGAATAAGACCATCAGTAAATTCATGATAAGTATTAACAGCTTGAATACCATTATCAATAATTAATAAATAATTATTATCATTTCTATAATGATAAGGATTATTTGAATGTTTTTGAGCTCGATTATATAATTCATTTAATGTTATTGTATGAAATTCATCTCGTTCAATCAATTGAGTAAAAGTTTGATGTAGAAGAAGATAAAATTGAGTAAGATCATAAATATATTTCATAATTTTTAAAAAATCAGTTGAATCAAGAACATATCGTAATATTTTTAAAGATTGTTGTGAATGAATAGGATTATGTAATTCAGTTTTAAAATGTAAAAATTGAATATTAATTGGCATTTTATCAATAAAATCTTGAAGGTTTGTTTGTATTTGTGATTGTAAATTAAGTTGATTAATATACGTTTTATATTCTGTTAATTTTTGATAAACAAAATAGAATACTTGATTTTGAAACTCTTGTTCAGCTTTTAATTCATCATTTATAGTATTAAAAATAGGTTTAATCCATGCATTTTCATCTTGTTGATGATTTATAGTTAAAAAAGCCATTTGTTCAAAACAATGGTTTAAGATAATACATGCATCATCTTGATTTGAACGAATTGATAGAAAATTAAATGTTGATAATAATCTTGCACGAATAAAATGACAAACTTTTGTTCGATTATTATTACCTGAAATACGATGTACAGCTGTATTATCATTAATTGCATGTGGTGCTAATATTGGACCATGTAAGTTTTGAACAGATTCAGCAAATAATAACATATGCCAAGCCTAAAGACTTAAATGTATATAAGGAATATTAATATATTAAACTTACTAAAGCACCAAATGTTGAGAAATAAGCAACATAAACAGCCGGTACATTCAATACACTAACATGTGTTTTTTCAAATTGCATTAAATCTCCATTCTGTGTAATAATACAACCACAATCATAATGTACACCATTAGTCCGAATTATATGATGTGTCGTTGATCCAAAACCTAATATTACGAAGAAATTAAAGTTAAATATTATATATTTATATATGATTATTTACCAAATGTGTTTTGTAAAGTTAATGGTTCAAAAGTAAACGTCCATAGAAAATTTTGTTTTCCACTCATAAGAATCATAGCGAGAAGATTAACAAGTGAATGACGAATACACAATTCATCTTCATCTTTACAATCAATTTTAAATAAATTATTTAAAGAATTCATATCTTCATCATTATTTTGTCTTGGATATCCAATCATATATTGTTCAGGTTGTAAAAAAACACGAAAAACTCGTAATTCTTCTGGTGAAGGTTGTAAAGTATTTTCAATAAATAATAATAATGTACTAATCGATGCTAATTGATTAGTACAATAATAATCGTAATAAATATTTAATAATAACATTACTTTAATTTCGATCAATTGAATTGTAAGTGGATTTTCATTTTGTTTTAATTGAATCCAATCTGAAAGATTTTTCCATTGTTGTTCTTTATTAATATTATCTTTGACACAATTATTTATGATTTGTTTAAGTTGGTCATAGAACTGATGTAAATGTGGAAATATTGACGAAGTATTATCTGTTGATAATGTAAATTGTATTTTATGACATAATTGAAGATATGGATTTTGTTGTATTGATTCTTTTATTTGTAAAAGATGGCATAGAGTATTTGCCCATTGACTATTTAAACGCTGTATATATTCGGATTTTAATAAATTAAAAAGAAAATTCCATGATCGTTTTGATATAATAGTCGAAAGAAAGATTTGAAGATGATGACTAAGTTCAACTGCTTGTTGATCGATTAATAAATACATATTAATAATTGTAAGTATAAGACGATCAATCATTCGTTGATTATCAGGAGATATATCAGTTTGACATAATAATAAAGCAGTTAAACGTATTACAAAATAAGTTTTTAATTCTTTGAAAATGTTTTTAATAATAATTGAAGATCTGTTTCTAATATTTGAAAATTCTGATTGAATAATTTTATTAACAAAATTATATTTAATTGGTTCATTATTAATAGATCGTTCAATATGAAAAAAGAAGAAATCAAGTAATGGTTGTCGTTGATTATCAATAGTTACAACTGATGGGTGATAGGGCAATTGATAGGGTTCAATCAGATTACCATTTTCAATACATTCGATAATAAATTGTAAAAGTTTAATACCACAATCCCAACAATCAAGTATTTGTCGATTATTCTTTCGTAATTCAATAAGATATAAATTAGCTAATTCATCGAACAGAAATTGTTTCATAGATAATGATAATCGATAAGATGATTGATTTAAATCTTTGAAAATTTGACTTATTTCTTCTTTACATGATTCTGTAGATGATTTTAGTATAAGAATTATCCATTGTTGTAAATCAATCATTAACATTGAATAATTATCAGTTTTATTTTCAAAATATTCTTCAACAGACTGGAGAATTTTTGGTAATAATTTTAAATAAACTGATTTTTGAAAATTTCCATATGGACCATTATTATTGACATGAACATAATGTATATTATTCAATAAATGAGTAACAAGATCTATTGGCTGAGATATATTATCATTAAGTAAAATAAGATATGCTAAATTCATGAATTCAATTTGATTTTTAATTTCAATAAGTTGTGTACATGATAAAACTTTATCTGATGGATAATATTTTGAAATAAATGTATAAGCATTAATCCATATTTCATTAGAATTTGTGTTGTTATTCGAACAAAATTCACATAAATTTTCCCATAAATAATCAAACATAAGTCGAAATAAAATTTCACATACTTGTGAACGTGTAGTATCATGATTAGGAAATAAACGATCGTTAAATGATTGTGTTGAATCAAGGCGATCTAGAATTCGATAAGCTGAATATAATGAAAAGAGATTATTTTTATCATATTCAAATGATGTATAAACATGTGCAAGAAGCCATATATATTTATATTGACTATCTTCAAAGGATTGTCGATCATTTTCATCGATAAGTAATAACCAACGTGAAACAAATTCAATTGTTTTTTCATATTGATTAAATTTCTTATGAAAATTTGTTTCAATAATTGTACAAAATGTTCGAACAAGATCATTTGAATAAGAATGAAGAATATTTTCATTTATTATTTCAACCAATATTTTATCATTTGAAATTGATTTTATTAATTTATATCGAAATTGTTCAAATGTACTTTCATTTTCATCTGTAGAAATTGGTGGAATAACATAATAATCTTGAAGTAGAATATTATTGTTATCTAAATATAGAAAAAAAAAACATTTTCTTATAAAAATGATTTCTAGAATTATCGAACCATTTTGTTTGAGAATTAATGTTAGTTTAATTTCATCAGCATAAGATTTGATTCGTTGATGAAATAAATGATAAAGTGGTGTTTGTGGAATACAAGCATAATGTGTAACAAGTTGAATTATTCCTTGAGAATTTCTATCTTTATTTTCATCAATTGAAAATGCTGAATAATCAATTAATTCTAAGATTGTATCATATTGATTTTTAATTGTTGATATTGTATCTAAACCATAATCGTCAATAAGATATTTAAAAACATTTGAAACAAAATTTGTAAATGATATACGAGTTTCAGATTGAATTGATTCAACAAGACCATCAAATCGTTTTTCACAAAGGATATCTTTTGATATTTGATAAATAAAATTAAAGATTTTTTTTGATGAATCTTTTGTATTTGATAAATTATTATGATAAATATTAACAAGACATTTTTGTAATTGAATTGATCGTTGAAAAATTTGTTTAAAACATTGAACACGTCGTAATGTATTTGTTTTTCGTTGATAAAATTCATATGCTAATTTATCTTTAAACATATTTTCAGGTAATTCTTGTAAAGTAATTTGTATTCGAGAACAAAAATCCCACAAACAATCATCAAATAATGTATTTAAATCACATAAACTATTGTCAAATGATTCTTGTTGTTCAGATGGTGATGATGATGTAAAAATTTGTATCATTTTTTGAAGATAAAAAGCATTACCAGGTGCACAACTATCAAAAAAGTAAAAATCCCAATCTTGTAAGAAAATAGCAGGAAATGATGATTGGTGATAAAGTTCTTGTGAAGGTGAATGAACAAGTATAAGAAAATATTTATAGTGTTTTTTATTAACTGTATTATATGAATAATCTGTTCTATCGATTAATTGTCGAACATATGGGATATGTAAACGTTGTTGATTAATTCGTGCATTAACTACAATTATTAAAACATTCTTTTTTTCATCTTTTTCATAATCTTGAAATTTTTCTTCTAGTTTTACAGAATTTTCAATAACAGACTAAAAAAATATATATATTTTACATGAACATTTTCAAATATAACGATAACTTACGAGATTAAGTATATCAATATTAGCAATATCATCAGTATATTCATTATCATTTAAATTATGAAATAAATCATGGTTTGATTGTTCATGAAGACCAATAATATATGATGATGTACGTGTAAATATCATTAATTTTCGTGTAATATTAATATGATCTAATTTTGGTAATTGTATATCCGTCGTTGTTATTGCTAATAAATCATTATTTTGAATATCATTCAATGGATTTGAAACAAAATTATGAATGAAATTTTCAATATGAAAATGTTCTTGTTGATGAAAATAATTCATACATAATAACTGTGCAAATTTATTTTCAAATGTTCGTAGTTTAAGTATAAATGATTCAGGTGAAACAAGTTGTAATAATTTCGAAAGAGTTAAACGTAAAAGACATTGTTGAATATCACTTGAATTTTGTTCAATAAATGATTTTGATTTAATTGTTAATTGTGTAAAATATTGATGAATATTAAGATAATAAGTTTGATCATTTTCATTTTGTTTTATTAATGATAATAAACATGAATATAATGTATTTTCATTTAAACCATAAAAATATTGTTGTCCAAAATGTTGAATAAATGAATAAAGTTTTTCTTCAATATTTTTTAAAATTTTTTGATCATTTAAAGAAGTTTGTTCATATTGAATTCGATAAAAATCATGAACACTTAATGAATATTTCTGAAAACGACTAAGAAATGGTGGTGGAATATCTTTAAATTCACTTCGTTTAACATGTACAATACATTGAAAATCTTCATGAACAACAACATCAATTGTTTTCGGACCAATAGCAACTTTCGAAAATATTTTTCTCATATCACCAGTAGCCATAATAGAAAAATTTTGATTAAAAACATCATAAAGTGAACCATGTATTCGTCCTGTATTGATCATTAATATTGTCTTTCCTGTTTCCATACATAATTTAATTGTTGATAAAATCTCCACATTACGTAATTCATTATTAATATCATCAGTAAAATCAGACATACAAAAAACAGTTGTATGATTTGGATCAAAATTAATAATACCACTTTGTGATAGTAAACGAACAGCACTTTCATCTTCTGACTCATCAATAATTAATTTATAACGTCCATAAAGACGACGTCGAATTGAATCAAGTTTCATTGATTCATTTAGAATAGTTGGAATATTACGACGAGTTACTGGTAATTGAAAATCAACACCTTGTTCTTGAACAGCTTGAAAAAATATTTTAACTAAATTTTCAAATTCATCTTTATTTATTCCATTAAAATTATTTTCTAATGCTTGTAAAAGACTCGTTGGTGTAATATCAGAAATAGATATGTCTTGATCATCTGATGTCGATGTTAATTCAAAACGTAATTCACGTAACATATAAATAAAATCACGATCATGATATATATGAGAAATGTTTGTTGTATTTAATATTCTTCGATATCCTTGACAAAGACCATATATAATTGATTGAAGGCGCCCGTATACACCTGTATTATTATCATTTATTTTTAAACCAAGACAACCATAAGCTAAAATTTTTTGATCATCTTTTGATGGTAAAGAACGATAAATACAAATCATTCGATTTGCATTAGCAGCATCAAATGATTTGTTTGCAATAGCAACAAATGCTACTTTACATTCATCTAGATATGGATGTAAAACTTTTAAGACCATTTTCTTTTCATCAGGTAGTGAAGCTTCGTCCAAGAAAACAACCTTTTATAATATCAAAATAATATCATAAATAGAAAATAATCTGAATTGAAAAAACAAGAATTCTACATACACATCGTGTGTTCATTCGATTTTGTTGATATTGTTGTTCACGTTTGATAGCACGTTCAAATATATATGCAATATCTTCTGATCGGCTATATTTTGATCCAAGACAAAAGAATGGATCAATAGCTGGTAAACGTTTACAAAATGATTTTGTTGATAATTGTGAACCTTGAAGATTTTGTAAAACAATTTGAAATGATAATGTTTTTGATTGACCTTTTAAAGAAGTAAAAATTGAATTGAAAAAGAAAGATTTTTTTTACTAACCTGGTGCACCAATTATACATAATGGTGTTCGTGTGACAATACTGACAACAATTGAAAATATATGTTCACGTATCTTTAAAGTATTAAAAAAAAATATAAAAGAAAAAATATTTTATAATATAAAACATACAGCTTGATTAATAGCAACACCGTGTGGAATAACAAAATTATCTGTATTGACAAATTTTTCTAATTCATTTTCAACAATGTCAGCAAAATCTGGTATTGTTTGAGAAAGTAATGTAGCAAGTTGCTCACGTGATGGTGATTTTTTATCATTCCGTTGTTCATTATCTTCTTTTGTTGGAAGTCGAAAATAATAGATCAATGCTAATGCTAATGCAATACATCGTATAGGATTTGGTTGGTATTGATATTGATCATCATTATTATTATCTATTTCATCATCAAATCGCATTTTCCAAAAAAAATCAATTAAATTAAAACATCGTTGAATTTCTCGTTGTGAAACTGAATTTCTTCCTAAAACAAAAAAAAGATGTTTGTTTCTTCTTAAATAATATTAAATATCTACCGAGATATTGCTCACAAAAATCTTGTGCATTAAGAATTGATTCAGATAAAATTGCTTGTGCATATTTTTCTAATGGCATTTCTATTTGTTGTTTATGTTTGGAATTTCCATGCAACATAAGAATTTTCTTTTCAATATAAGTTTTCAATGATGTTTGTTCTAATGGTCCATAAGATACTTTTAAACTTTCTAATGCTTGTGGTAATTGATGTACAAGAAAATCTCGTCTATGAGCAATATTGTCATCATTAGATACAATATATGGATTAATAGCTCCAGTAAAAAATATATTTTTTGGTAATTCGTTTCCATGTAATGTTCGATCCATAAACATTTCTTTAAAAAGTCCAAGACATGACGCCGTATTAACTTCATCAAAGAATACAACTAATTCAACATTAGATAATTTACGTGCTAATTGACAAATAGGTAACATAAATTGTTCAAGTTGTTCTTCAGTTACACCTGGATGCAATAATAAACGATAAAATAATGGTTTCATTTCACTATGAAGTATATATTCATTAAAAATTTCAATTGCTATTCGTACAGATGATGAATAGGAATTATTAAGTAATTGTTGAAGATGAAAACTAGGTTCAATCAATGGAAAATTAATTAATTGTGATTTGATATATTCATGTAATGCATGAGTTAATTTTTGAGCTATATTCATTGCATTTTCACTGGCAATAGTTAAAATTGTTTCCCATAAATATTGCATGATATCATTATTATATTCATGATTTTTTAATGAATTTCGAATATGTTCTAATAAAAGAGGATCAATTAATTCTGTTTTTGGTTGAATTTGTAGTGCTATTGGAATTGAAGTAAGTGGTTGTGGTTGAATATTTATTAAACCTTCATTAAATGTATCTTCAATATTAATATGTTGAATATGAGGAAGATAGAGTTGTGTAACTTCTGTATCTATTTCATCATCATTAATAAATCCCATAAGTTTTGGTTTTACTCGATTTAGGAATATGTTTAATAAATTAATTTCATCAACTAAAATACCAGATATGATAGTATTTAATAACCATAAACTAGTACGTTCACGTATACGTGGAATCATATTATTATCAATTGGAGCATTGATTATATTAGAATTTAATAATAATGAATAGAATTTGAGAAGAAATGTTTTTCCAACACCTGTATCACCTTCAATAACTAAAGATAATTTCGTTAATTTACGTTCATGAATATGAAATAATTTATAAGCAAAATTTTCAGTTAAAATAAATTTTGTTTCATTCATAATTTGTTCAAAATCATTATATTTTATATCGATTAACCACGATAAACATTTAATAAAATAATCTTTAGATTGGAATTCTTCTCTATTCGTAGGATTTTGATTATTAAATAATTGTTTTAATTCAGGTGATACGTTATTCCAATCATCATGCAATAAATGTAACGAAAAATTCGGATCATAAACAAGATATGTACGAGGATAATTATTTGTTTGAAAATCTATTTGTGAAAGTGATTTTGCTTCATCTATCATTTGTTTCATTGCGAATGAGCCAAGATTTGGAACTGTCATATTATATCGATAAAAATGCCCGAGAAAAAATTTTATACGACGATATAAAAATTTTGTAAAAGATACTTCGGAAATTTTATTTCTTGGTAATTCCGGCGCATATTCAGTTATACAATTATAAATATAACGAAGACATTCATTACAATTTGTTAATGTTTCAAAGTCAACTGGTTTTTCAATATTAGTTGATGTTACTGTTAATATTTGATTAATAGTTCCATTTTCATAAGCTTTAAGAAATCGAGCAACAACTTCTTCTTCTTCTCCAATAAATAATTGATAATTTTCATTAGTAATTTCTTCTAAACTATCTGGAGATATAATTGATAAAATAGGTAAAATTCGATAAAAATTTTCTTTAATAGTCATCTGATATTTATTTGTATGAGGAATTTCGATAAAAAATTTCCATTGTTGATTTTCTGGTAAAGAAAATGTTAGACCAGTATTTGTATCAGTTAATGATCCACAAATAAATAATGATAGAAATGCACGATTTAATTCTTCGAATGGTGCATGTATTGAAATATTAAAAGAAACTGATGGATTATTATTATTATTATTATTTATTCTTGAATCATATGTAAGAAATGAATTAATTAATAATGATAAATTTAATGTATCATTGATACTAAAACAAAATGTATCTTCATCTTTATATTTCTTATTAATTCGATGAGTTTTTCCTAATAAAAAATGAAAAATAAAAGTAAAATTTTTTTCTAAAGCAAATCAAACTTACCAATACCGGCTAGTCCATAAATAATTTGAATTTGCGGTTGTATCCAATTATTTTGTTGAAATAATCGAACTAATTGTGTATATATATGATGAGGATCACGAAATCTTGGTGAAATATGATATGGTCTTAAACCTTTTCGATTTGTTGTTAATTCTCTAGAAAAATAATAAACCGGTCCATGACCTTGTTCAAGTTTTGTTAATGCATCTTGTTCATTTAATAAAATTTCTCTAAGACGATGATGCATTTTATCAATATCGAGTATAACAAATGTTAAAGAACGAAATGTTTTTATACGTAAAAAAAATAATCGAATATCATCTTCAGTAGCAATTGAACACCATAATATTTGATAAGCAGATGGTAATCGATCATTAAAAAGATTTAATAAAATACAACATGTATTCATATCAAGATTGTGATCAAATGAAAGATTTTCTGATGGATTTCTCATTGTATCTAATGTTACAAGATATTGCTGATTTTCATTGATTAAAATATTATTTTGAAATAAATCATTGTTATTATTATTATTATTATTAAATAATTTCGATAGGAATTGTGATAATTTCTTAAGGCCTGTATCAGCATTTGCATTTGATTCAATTTTATATGTTTCATAAAGATTTAATATATTAATTATTGATAAATCACAGTTATAAATTTTTAATGAACGTAAATAATGTATTAAACATTGAATAGTTAGTTTTAATTCTTTTTCTTTATGATTATGAATATCTTTTGATAATGATAATTTCTCTAAAAAATGACATTTTATTTGATTTTGTGTTGTTGATGTTGTTAATAAAATAATAAGAATCATTATTTGACGATTTGAAAATAAATTTAATAAACGATTATCATATCTATATCGTTCTAAATTATTAATCCACATATCATATGTTGTTCCTAATGCACGATAAATTAATTCTAAATTATCTGTACGAGTTTTAACAGCACGTTTTAATAGATCTTCTCGAATATGTTGATCATTTCGAAGATTTGAAAGTATATTATTAATTTCACCTAGAATTAAAATATGAATTCATTTATTTCTAGACATGTGTAAAATGTAAGTTTTCTTTTACCAGTTCGATCATGTATTTCATAATTTTCTTCTCGAAGTTGATATTCTGGGTGACCAGCCATTTCTAATTGAACAAGTTTAGTATAAATATTTTGTAGAATTTTTAATAATTTTAATTGTTCATTTAATAAGATTTTTTTATAAAATATATTTTCTTGTAAATCAACATTACAAAATGTTAATTGACGTTTATGATCATCAATATCACTCATTGATAATGTAAATTTAAGCATTTCTTGTTGATCATTATCATCATTTTGTATCTTTTTAATTGAATATCCAATTTCGAAATAAGACTGTTCATTCATCAAACGTCTAAGACATATTTTAATTGTACCAGTTTTATAAAGATGTTCCATTGTTATAAGTGCATTATCTAATACTGATGTTTCTTCAGTTGATAGCCACATATTCACAATTTGTATATTTTCATTAACAACTATAAATATAAAATTTATTTATTTTTTTTATATATAAAATATAGTTTTACTTTGCAGATGTTTTAAAGAATTTTCTTCAAAATTTGATAAACGAGCAATGCGATCAACAAAGTCATCGAAATTTTTTGCTTTAAGAACAAATGGTTCACATAATGCATAAGCAATAATCCATGAATTAAGAATCATATTATTACGTTCTTGAAGTTGAAATTGTGTTGTTAAATTATCTCGTAGTTCTTGAAATCTTAGACTTCCATGAAATGAATATAAATCAGACTTTTTCATTATTTCAATAACAGATGAACATTGAAGTGCTGTTTTAATTAATTGTAAATGTTGATTTGAAAGATTTTGAAATTGTTGTTTTAAAATATTATAAGTCTGTGTTATTTGTTTTAATGAACAATTTTCATCACTTAAATGTTTTAAATGACCAATTAATTGATCATTAGTATCAATTGGTAATATATCAAATTTTTCAATACAATTAATAATAATATTAATATGGCTATAATATTGATAAATTTGAAGCCATTCACAGACTTGTTCAATTTCTTTATCAGTAGGAATATTTGTCGTTGTTGTTGTTGTTGTTGTTGTTGTTGTTGTCGTTGTTCGTTGTTTATTCATAGCTCCATGTTCAGAAGAACGATTAGTAAAAAGTTTTTTAACTTCTTCTCGTATATGAATATTTTTATCGCAAAATACAGTTTTAAGATTAGTCATATCTCTTAAACTAACACTACCATTTAAAACACTATCAATAAACTGAAATACTTTATCAAGTAATTGACTTATTTGTTCTTCTTTAATTATTTCTATTGATTGTTGATAATATGATTGATAGAACATATTAAATATTCCATGAAAAAGATGACAAGTTGATAATGGAGTTAAACTTATTCGATACCAAACTGTACGCGGAGAACGTGATTGTTCATTATTAATCTTAATTATTAATTGACCAAATCGGTGTGTTTTAAATTCTCCTTGTAGAACATATTGCTCGATTGGAATTATTTCTTTATCAAATAATATTCGATTTTCATCTTGTAATTCAATTGTTTGATATCGAATTTGAATATTACAAGGAGATCTTTCACTAGCAATGCACCATTGAACATTTTGTCGATCATTAATTAAAAATATATTTTCCGAAGACATCTTTGCTAATACTGTAAATGTATTATTAGGTTGAAATCGTTTTAATTCTCGAATATAATTTGTAGAATCAATTTGATTGTTTAATGCGCCTGCATTAACTAATTGAAATGATGTTAAACAATTAAATAAATGATAAAGTCGTCGCAGATCTTTAAAAGGTCGAAGAATTTTTAATGTTCTTTCAACGATCATTTTCATTTGAATAAGTGTAACAGACGAATTATCTTTTATTGTATGTATATCAGTAAATAATTGATCAGCTCCATCAACTTTCCAATTTCTTAACCATTCAATTACATATAACGATATTAATAAAAATTTATTAAACCATTGAATCCATTCATTTATTTGTTTGATAAAATATTGAAAATATTCTTCTTTCGAATCAAATTCTGTAATCTTAATATCTTTTGGTATAGATGACATTATTGATTCAATTTGAGATGAAATTATTGGAAATTTAAAATATTGTGGATTAACTTTTGTTATTATTTTTTTAAAATCTGTATGTGGAAGAAAAGAATGTACGATTGACGAATTTAATAGATCACGATATTTTGAACAACTACCTTAAAAAACATAAAAATGGAGAAGAATTAAATTTTCGAAAATGAAACTAACCTTGTAATAATAAAATTTGTTCAATAGATTGTTGTCCATTACGAATAAATTCATCAACTTGTTTTACATCGATTAGATATGATTGTTTTTGTCGAATATGAATAACATAATTAATTATAAATTCAATATTTGGAAGGGATAATACAGATTTTATATATCGAACAATAATTAATTCAAATACATTAGTAACTAAAATATTTGTTAAAATATCATTATTATCGAAGGTACTGTGTTTAACTTCTTGTAGCCATCCATTTAATTTCAAAAGTATTTCATTTCCATTTTCATTTTTTGATTTAAGAATACTCAAATGTATTAACCGTTTCCAAATATAAATTGTCCAACGATGATATTCGTGAGTATCACATAAGGATTGATAGATATTTCCATGAAATTTATATAAAAAATCATCTGGTATATATAATAAATAATCTTGCAGCCATTCATCCTGAATAATATATGTTGGATCATTCATTTGACATAGATTTTGATCGAAATCATCTAATCTTTTAAATAAATTTTGAATTTTTTCGGCTATATTCAATGTTCGAATATTATTTTGAAATAATAAACGTCGAATGAGAAGTAAACAAGATGGTTGTTGTATTTCATGTGTTGTTGACATTTCAAGACCAATACATAAAAAATTTTTAAAATCTAACCAGGAGAATTTATAATAATATTGTTCATCATTCATTTGTTTAGTTATAAATGCATCGAATATTTTCTCATATATTTTTAGAAAACGCGGACGATATTCATCCTTGATCAATGTAATACATTCACTAGCAGTTTTTGTATAGCGTAGAAAATTATTCTTTGTTGTAATCATAGTACGAATAGTAAGTTTGGCACTAAGATGTTTTTGAATAATTGCATTTAGTTCGCTGTTGGTAGATATTCGAATAAACATATTCCACAAATCATCGAGATCTACATTTGCAGCATAAATTGAAAAATAAGTGCCAAAGATATGATCATGACGACCGACCAAATTAAAAAAATCACTAATATATTGAAATGTGTAAAATTGTTGTCTAACATTATTTTCAAATAGTGGTCGATATTGTTCGAAAAAATCTTCTGTGTCCAATTTTAATGTTTTGCAAAGACGTATGAAAATGATAAATGGTGATTCTTTGGAATTTCTGGATATAGGATTTCTACTAATAAGTTCAATAAATCCTGGCAGATCAAATGGGAATTGCTGAAATGCTAATTGGTATTCTATATACTTGGAAATAAATTCTTGTAAAGAAACTGCGAAATGTTGTATATTTGATATAATCCGTTGCCATTGTAAGCAATCATCTGTTAAAATTGATGATTGAAATGATAATTTACTTAGCATAAAGAACATATCTATTGTTTGTTTATCAATTTTTGTTATCAATGTCAAATGTTCAATAATATTTAAGTTTTTCAATTGAGCTTTCTCTTTCGTAGAAAGATTCGGTTGTAAACCTTTATTTTTGATAAATATTTCAGATAATAATTGAAACAATGTTTCTTTCAGTTGTTTAAGATTGTTGTCAAATTTCCGTGTCCAATATGATGTTCGTTTTATCATCACTACATATTCTTCAATACGACGATAAATATATAGGTACGAATCAATGCGATTTGAAAGTATTTTTAGCAATTCGGATGATGATAGACTACCCATTACACATTGAGTAATGAATTCCACATCGCTGGAGAATGTCTTGCTCACGTTAACTCGATTTGCTTCATCGAAATACTCAAAACGTGCCAAAACTGAATCAAAGAACACTTGTCCTTCACTGTTTTCATCAAATACATGACTAAATAATACGGCCGGTTCAGATAATTTTTCACAAAACGTTTTTGCAAAGACCATTAGAACAACTGCTGTTATTTGCCACAAAAATCTAAAAATAAATCTAGATATCGACAATTCAATTCAATTTTAACTACAAATTAAACAGTTTATAACATAAGTATTAAGAATTGAAATCAGCTAGAAATGATTTATCGTTTCAATAGTTTATTTCAACAAGATCATAGTGAACAACAAGGAAAAAAGAAAAGAGAAGATATGGAGTAGAGAGAACAGTCCGTGTCCTTGCGCCAAAATAGACTGATCTGACCAGCGCATGTACACACATATATATATAAATGAAAGAGAGGAGAGAGAGACATCGAGATGACAACAAAGAAAAAGAAAGTACTAGTGGATATTAGTACATGTCAAGAAAAAGAAAAGAATCGAGAAAGATCGATCCAGGGAGGAAGAAGAAGAAGAAAACGAGGGATGGAATAGAATGAAGGTTGACTCCGTAACAATAAGCTATGAACCTTTTCTTCTTTTCAAATTGACAGAAAAAAATTATGATAAGAAGCTATTTTTACAACAGAAGTTGGTACTAGATATTAATTCAATACGTAAGCTTGTAATTTTTAGTACATTGTACAGATGATAATTATTTTGCTTCAATTTTAAACTATTTCTATTGTAAGCGAACATATAAATTAGTTGTTCGCTATTTTTTCACATATGATCTGATATTATTTTCTCTCTTTCTTTCACACATATATTTCCATCTGGTATTTTCCTTTCTTTATCTTAATTCGTTCTTTGTCTGTTCTTTTAACTTATATTGAAATTTCCAAGTGATGCATGAAAGGACATCACTTAAGTATTTTTCCTAGATTATATTGTATTACAAGAAATGGGAATAATCCAAATAACCATTTCTTGTCCTATAAATACTCGCGTGCTATTCTTAAATAAACGAACTACTATTCAGCTTCCACATTAACATCTTTTTCTATAAGTTACGATATACACTGTAACAGATTGTCTGTTTTTTTTAGAAGCACAGAATAAATTTCCAATCGGAAGATGCGAAATTATTTCTTCGACAAATTGCTGAAGAACTAGGGATGCCTGAAGAAACATCATCTCAAATTATCCTAGATACATACCTCGGACGGTCTTTTATAATGGATCGATTCGCCACTCAAATACAAAAGAAAGGTTTCGTCAATCGTATTTTGATTATAGGACAAACTGGTGTGGGTAAAAGTAGCGTTGTCAATTTGTTAGCTGATGAGAAAAAAGCTAATGTCAGTGACGCTGCAGTCGGCTGCACATTTAGTTTTGATTCTTACCACGTAATGCATAATGATCAACCCTACGAATTGATTGATACAATTGGACTGAATGAAGGTTCAAAAGGAAAAGTCATACAAAAAGAAGCATTGAAGAAACTTATTACATTTATTAAACAGAATAAACGAGGTTTCAACTGTGTTCTGTTTGTGATAAAGAAAGGTCGTGTTGATGATGCATTCGAAAAGAATCACTATCTATTTTATAAAACTTTGCTACAAGAAAAGATACCGGCTATTCTATTTGTTGGTCATTGTGAGCAAGATGAACCAATGTCAGCGTGGTATCTTCAGGAAGAAAATGTAAATTTTCTTCATCCATATCATTTTTCACAAGTTGTATGTAGTACAGCACTGGAAGGCGGTCGTTTTGCTGAACAAATTAAACCATTACGAGAAGAGACACGAACAAATCTATGGAAAGCTATTGTTGATAAAATGTTAGATAAACCTATACCTGTTGAAGCTGACTTAAACATGATAAAACGTTTATGGAACGGTGTTTGTGATTATTTTGGGTTCACTTGGAAATTTGTTACAGACCAATTTAAAAGCTTTCTCGAATATTTGAGATTATAAGGTGTAGATGACGAAACATTAGTACAATTAAACTTACAATTACATTAATTAAATACACATGAAAAGACTGCATTTTCATTTGTAAGAAATAATTCAGACAACATGTTTTTAAATCTATTTTTCTGTTTTGCAAAACTTGTTAAATCTAAAATAAAACCCTCTTTCACTGAGTAACTGTGACAGCTGAAGTATGTAGAAATGAAATATAATTCAACTCATCTCACAGTGACGTTGTGGATGTGGATGTCAATTATGTTAAAAGTGAGACATTTACAACCATACTCTGAAATTGAATGTATACGAATAATCATAGCTATTTGATGATTAAATTGTTCCGACAATTATTAAGTTTCCTTTTATTGCATAAAATGAATAATTATCGTAATTCGTTTTTTTCAGTGTATTATCAATAACATGCTCATAGTTGGCATACTAGAAAGTAATCTTGCTCTGTGTTAAATTTAGATATGATACACAAATATTTTTTGGGTAGGTGTGGATGAGATAGTTATGATACACTTATACTCATACCCACACCCTCAATATATATCTATTTGAATATAGCTCTGTCTATTAGAAAACGAAAAGAAATAAGAATTTCCAATTTATTTATGAGAAAACAAATTATT